AACCACCTAGTACCAGTTACATTTTTTATTCTTGATGGACCCCAGATATCACTATGAATTAGTGAAATGGACGAGACGCTTTATAGGATTGAATGGGAAAATGGACCGTACATGCTTAGAACAATTGACAGATTTCACAATTCAAAAGGTTTGGAGTTTTAAATATGAAGGAAATAAATGCTTGAGATACATAACATTCGGATGACCTAAGCGATAGCTGCCACAACATGATTGCTCTATCGTTATTTTTGACACGAAACAAAAAAAAGAACTACCACGAATTGCCGTTTGAGGTTGTTCCAGTGGATAGTTAAAAAAATGGCGTTCCTTCGCAATCATTTTATATACAACAAAACATCAGCAACACACTGCCAGTTATGACCTCAACGTATCAAGTTGACGCCATAGACGAGTAAGGGTATTGAAATATTCAGTTACCGTAAGATTGTCTTGACGTAAATCGTGGAGGGAGCTTTCAAGCTGGATGATTTCGAGTGTTTTCCTTGTCCGAAAACGTTTCTTTGCCATGTCCCAAATCTCTTTGCAGTATCAAATGACAAAATTTTTCGCCAATGTCAGTGGTCATAGAGTTGACGAGCCACGACATGACCATGTTATTTTCAGCTATCCACCATTTGTAGGTTGATGCTGTGGTTTCTGGTAGTTGCTGAGGCTCCGGTGATGTAGTCGTCTTTCTCCTTTCCCGTATAAACATTAATATGGATTGAGACCATTGCAATAATTTTTGCCCATTCAGTTTTATTGGGCGGATGATCGGAAGATGAGGGTTTCCATTTGATGCAGAAGGATAAAGATGATGAGATTGATAATACAGAGAAGAGGAGGATGAGTCGATACCATTCCAAAGCTGGAACCGTATTTAGGCATGAAATAGAAGAATAGATTTGAGTAGAAAGAGAGACAACAAAAAATATTGATGATGAGACAGGATTACACCTGCTTCTGATACCATGAAAGTAATATTGAAGAGAGTGATTGAAAGAGCTAATACACTCTGTGATTCAATTGTGTATTAAACATGAAGAGAATGTCCATTATATAGGAGAGCTAATACACATCATTATGGATACTACATTATGAAAGAAAACATATAAAAATAAAAAGTAGCCGAAAGTTGAGAGGCACTACCTAAAGCACTACAAATAAATCATCTGATGGAGAAGCACTAACTTATTTAAAATATTAATGATATAAGCATGCAGCTGGTATTATTAACAAATAGCTTGATTGATTTCCAATAATATTACATTTAAGAATATAAGGTACTTGTAGACTAATTTTCTTTTAATTATTAGGCATCCAATAAAATATATATATACATATTCATTTTTGATGTTTTTGTCTTATCAAAACTTAAGTCATCTTAAATTTTAGTTCATTATATTTGATTTTTTCCTTCTAAGGTAACATTAAAAATATATATATTAGAAAAAACTTTTAGGATCATTTCAAATCACTAAATTTATCATTTTGGAACTTGTGTACCAATACGTAATTCGCTAGGGTGTTAACGTTTTCTACACAACGCCAACATCAATGAAGGGTTATCTAACACCATTGATAAGATGATTTAGCAGTGACAGTTTATCCTCGTCAACTTGTGATTGGACATTTTTGGATACCACAAACTATACAAAGCTGCTCATAGTTGCTCTCATGGAAACTTAGGATAAGGTAACAAAAAGAAACAGAGGCCTATGTAGGGAATGCAATGGATTCATTTTCTTCTTTCACAAACAGGTAGCAAGCAAGAGTCCAACAAAACCAGGGCTGTTAGCTACTTGCAAGGTTCTAAATATCAGCCAGTACGTGCCGTACCGGCCGGTTCGTACCAGAAAATGGGAGGACCGAGTCGGATACTCACCGGTATACCGGCGTGAATGAATTTAGCGTCCGTATTGGCCGATTCCCGATTCGTAACGGCCTGAATCCGATACGCAAGCGATTTTTTTCCCATACTATCCGATATGGTTGATGCTTTGTTGAAGGTTTGTTGAAGGTTTGTTCTCTAATGCTCTGTTTGTATATGTGAATGTGATGCTCTGTTTTTTTATTTTAGCTGAAGAAGTCATATATATGTGATGCTCTGTTTTTTTACGAAGGGGATATATATAAGAAGTATAAGAAGTATATGTGATGCTCTGTGAAGAAGTCACCTTCGATTGCAGCTCTGTGCAGTGCCACATAACAACCTGCAAAAATGGCCAAGGCCAACAAAAAATTCAAAGTAAATTTAAGTTTTTAGATGCTGTTTTAAATATTATTATTCAATCGTCTTCTCCACAGCTCATTAAGTTTTACTACTATTTCTGTGCAATAGGAAAGATTTTCATTTCGGGAGTAAGACTTCTTTTCAGCCCTTTAAAAGGAATATAATATACATTATTTAAATTATAAAATTTTATTATTGGATGTCAACATCAACTTTTAAGAAAAATTTATATAGAAGTTTTGGTAAATGTAACCATATTCCAAGGCCAAGGGAAAAAAAATTGTGTGGAGGTTGACGGAGAGTGAGGAAAAAGATGGTAATCTAGGCAGATAAAAGCCAAATATTGGGTACTCTCAAAATTTTGATTAAAATATCATAAATTAAGATTAAAAGGGTCAAAAAAATGCATAAAATTGAGTTTTAGATGGATTGCTGATGATTTTTGAAATTTCACAGCCGCGACGCCCGATACCCGATACGTACCGGTTGATACTACCGATACCGATACTCCGCGATCGATACCGTTACGTTACCCGATACCCCGATTTAGAACTATGGCTACTTGCCACTGTTTGTGTCTCAAGGATGTTAAGTGTCCATTCTTTTAAAAATTTCTTTAAAAATGGAACTTAGAGAAGATGATTGTGGGGTAAAGAGATGGTTGATCTATAGTTCAACACTTCCCATTATGTGGCCTTTTTTGTATGTTGTGTGGTGATTAGATATATACTTGACTTCGCTGATCAAGACATATATATATATACACTAGACCTTTCTGACCATTCTTCTTATTTATTTATTTATTTCTCTTTCTTATTTCTTATACCAGTCACCTACCAATCAAACTTTTATGTCTTCTAAATCTTTCAAAAGGTTCAACATCTCATGTGTGTATTAATTGGTGTTATGTAACATTTACGTAGAATGTGTATAATATCAATATCATTTGTTATTGCATTCGAAATGTTTGCAGAAACCAACAAATCATTACTTATATGCTCTCTTTCTTTTGTCTTTGAGATGGTCATGAAAGTGGAGCCAAAATAAATTTCCTAAATAACACCTTAAATTGAAAAAGATATGGTATAGGATATGTAAAACAATAAAACAAATTAAAAAAAAAAAAAGGAACTGTCAACTGCAAATCTACCTCCAAGACATTTGCTTTATCAATAGAACCGAGCTTCCCACGCTGCTTCTGAGCAGTCTCAAATGCAATGCAAGCAATCTATGAAGAAAGATTTTCACGTCAAACAAAAAATATTAAGAAAAGTAAGATAAAAAAATCCCTCTAAATCTTCTCCTTGATCTCATACATCAGCAAATTTTCTTTCCTTAGCAATTATGTGCCTAATATTACAATCCAAACAAATTAGCTGCCAAGCTCCATTGGGCTTGAGGTTCTCACCTCAAACAAGCTACGCCATACTAGGTTTGATGGTTAGATTGTGTTGAAAAAATAACTTAATTAATTTATAGAAACTGACTCCATATAATCCACAGAATAAAAAAAAGTTAAAAATACTTAGAGAAACCAACAAAAAAATGAAAATCTAATTCTCTTTGACAAACTCTGAGCCAAGCATGGTATATGACATTGTCAATTGATTGAATTGGCACCCAACATATGAATTAACACAATATGAAATCAATTGATACAAAAGATCTAAAAACTAAATTGAAATCAAGAACTTTCAGAATATGACACAAAAATGTAGCATAAATCCAGATACACACATATATTCCCATCAAAATTGATAAAACATTCCAAAAGTTGATTCAAAAAATTGAAAATAGGGACTGGGGTTTAGTGAGAATCATAGAGTGAGATATAGAGAGAGCAAGAGAGTGAGGGAGATATAAGGGTTTAGGAGATACCTTGAGGGAGAGATGGGGCTGCTTCTGCTGCCTCTGCAGCCGTAGTTGTCGCCATTGAGATGAGGGAGAGAATGAGCCAGTGAGCGAGTGAAGCGAGTTAGTCAGATTTAGGACAAAATAGAGGCAATATAATTTTTTTTTTTTATGTGCGACGAAAACTATATCTATCGCAAAAATAGTGTTAAAATAAACAAAATTTCATCATTTAATCATTTACCTAATTTTATTTGGGATAGTGGTGTTTTTGTTGCCAAAGATTCAATTTTATTGATTTTTGGCGACGGTTATTTTACTGTCTTGAAAACTGTCATTGGAGACAAATTTATTTACCCTTCCCAAAAACGCACTATTTGTGATGGATTTCATTCCGTCACAAATACTTCCACCTTTTTAAACTTCCTTTTCTAGTAGTGAACATACCTCAATCTTAGCCGTAGTTTCTTCTAATTTTGGCAATCTCATCTTAATCCTATCCACAAACCCTTTGTACACCATGCAAAGCCCATCATTTCCAACCAAAAGAAGGTTATTGAAATCATTTCTAGTTGTTCGAATATCAGCCGGTGAGAAATGATGGTGTGGTCGGGTAATACTATTTGGAAGTGGTTCCAAAAACAAATCATTTGACAATCCACTAGAACAATTCTCCTTTCTCTCCCTCCACCAATGATTCATACCTTCAGGCACAATTGCAATACGTTGAAACACCTTTATAATTATTCCCTCTGATCTTCCTTTACGTTGTGACACCAATGCGAGATCGAGGCTCCCCACCACTTTAGCCATTGTAGGCTTTTCCTTTGGATGAATATGTAAACAATTGTAGGCAACCTTTACAATATACTTCAAACTCTGTGGTGTTATTTGTCCACTCAAAGGGATCAATGATTCAATCAGGCTTTCCTTTTTTAATGCATTCTTGAGAACAAAGTATTAAACTGGCTTGATCTTCTTCAAGTTTTATATCCACTAGTGGCCTCCTAGAGAGAATTTCAAACAACACCACACCAAAGGCATACACATCAGATTTTTTGGTTAGTTTGTGGCGCAAGAAATAATCTGGATCGAAATACCCTAATGTACCTTTAACTTTTCTTCTCATGTGGATTGTTGAATGGCTTGTAAGGCCCTTGGACAGCCCAAAATCTATAATCTTGGCTACCCAATTCTCATCTAACAGAATGTTTGTGGTCTTCACATCTTGGTGTATGAAGCCTTGATCGGTACCAGTATGAAGGTAGTCTAACTTGCGTGCAACACCGATGCAAATGTTGAGCCTTTGTTCCCATGTTAGAGAAGAAGTAGTAATACCACTTTCTTTTCTACTTGTTTTGTAGATACAATTAGCACATGCCACGTATTCATAAACAAGGATCATTTCCTGGCAGTCATTGCACTGGCCAATCAGAGCAACGAGATGAGTGTGCTGGAGTTTAGACAGCATCTTGACCTCAGTCCAAAACTCTTTTACTCCTTGCTGGGACTCTGTGTCCAATTGCTTTATGGCAACGATTGTAGTACCATTGTCAATGAACCCCTTATATACCTTACCAAATCTGCCAACCCCAATAACTTATTCGTCACTAAAGTTGTCAGTCATTTATTGTATCTCAGCTAGTGAGAAGCAATGGCAAGAATCCTCCGATTCAATCACAGCACTTGAAATTGCATCCTACGTAACATATCTTGAGCTTTGGGGGATCTATATCTATATATATCAAAGAATGTGGCAGTAGCATTAGATTCAAATCTTTGGTGATGTTCAAAGATGAGTGTAGACGTCCCCAAACGCCCCGGGAGGAACGAGCTCCCGTTCCGTTCATATTGGGGTCACTACAGCTCAGGACTCTCAAATTTGTCACGGGTTCTAAGTCTGAACCAAAGAGTCCAAATCCGGCAAATCGTTTTGAGAAAATTGATTTTTGAAAGAAGTGCCAAACATGGACTGCTTTACCAGATACAGAGTCGCCACCTAAATGTTTTTAAAATGGGAAATTTAGGAAACCCTGACTCGGTGCCAAAGGCCACGTGTCCGTCATCACCAAAGTTGCCTCGGCTCGGGAACTTGGGTACGATTGGGGAAGGTCACTTCGTGAGCACCCCCGCTCGCCCGATCAAAGATCGGCCTCTACTAACCATGATATATATTTTTGAAAACTTTGTGTGTCCTTAAACCAGTTATTAGCCTAGGTTACTATGTGATGCACACAGCATACAAGTATAGACTGGATCGCCCGAATTGGAACAAAAATTGTCCGGTTGTCAATGAGATTCTGGATCTCATGACGAAGGCGGTAGCAACCATCGGTGCCATGGCCGCGCTGTTGATGATATACACAGTATTTGCTGGGGTTATGTCTGGCAGGGAGTGGATTTGGCGAAGGTTGAGGATTAAGGGGTTTGAGGTGCCCTCTTTCCATCAGAACTTTGAATGCCCTGGTTAGGCTCATATGGAGGGGGGTGAAAAATCTACCCTGAGCTCGGGCTGAGCTGGCTATTTGTAGGCTGGCCTTGGCAAAAGGGTCGGCTATGGCGACTGTGTTGACTTCAGCAGGTTTGGAAATAGTGCTACCACCAGCATTGGTACTCTCGAC